AACTGCGTCATGTCCGCGTAGGCAATTTAGCTGGGGGCGTAGGCGCGCGGAGGCATCGCGTAGGCATTTCGCGCACATCCTTGTATTTTTTCTTGTGTAGGCGCGCGCGTAGGCACTTGATGGAGTTGTTATGTATTGTCTGAAGCTTTATGTTTTACAATGCATATGGATGTGCATGGGTTTGTTCTGCAGTCTTCGCGTAGGCTCCGCGTAGGCCCCACGTAGGCATTTGCGTAGGCTTTCAAGGCATTTTGGGTGCGTAGACCTTTTCTAGCAGCCAGATCCTTGGACAGATGTTGGATTCTCACTTGTACTGCATTTCTGATCTTAGAGCCGGGGCTGCCAAAACTGCACTTGCACTGAAAAGTTGCGATTTTCCAGCTGGAGCTGCCACAGTGCACTTCGACACTTGAACTCAACGTTTGCCCGCGTAGGTGGGCACCTGGAAGCTGACTTGTGATCGCGTAGGCACCCCTCGCAGGCCGCGTAGGCTTGCGTAGGTCTTCGCGTAGGCGCGCAGGTAGTGTATAGGCCCCGAACCACCAAAACAACACTGCTCAAATGCTGATTCAGAGCCACGACAAAGGGGATCCCTGGGAAATCAAACATGTTATCACGCTTTGGCGGTGCAATCATCTTCCACATCATTTGCTTCTTCTACATCATCTGCATCTGTGTCAGACAACGATTGACTTGGCATTGCAAAGCTCGAGCTGGAAAAAAGCGGCGTGCGATTTTCTTGCGTAGGCGTCCGCGTAGGCGCGACAAGAGACAAACGTGCGCGCGTAGGCGCCCCTTGCCGTCGCGGAGGCGTTGCGTAGGCTTGCGTAGGCATGTGTGCAGTGTATAGGCCCCGAGCACCAACAAAAAAACACTACCCATCGACAGACAAGAGAATGCTCCTCGACCATGCAGTCACACAGCTACAGCGCTTCCTCATTGAGTGTGGAAGGACAACACATACGATATTATAATTAGATCAGGAAGACTTGCTGACAGCGCTCACAACAGCAGTGGCCAACAAGAATGGCAACATCACCACGAGGAACTCAGGAGCATACAGTTCACAATCACAAGGAGGAGTAGAGCGAGCACACAGAACATTGTTTGCACAAATCAGAACACTCAAGGCACAGATCAGACAAAACTACAACAGAGATATTTCAATGAAACATCCACTCATGCCTTGGATAGTTCGACACAGCGCATACATCATGAACAGGTATGCAGTTCACAGCAATGGATGCACAAGCTACTTCAACAGATGGAACAGAGAGCAACATACACCACTTTGCGAGTTTGGTGAGACAGTGCAATACATTCTACCAACAGTGAAACAATTTCCAAAACCCGAGCCTAGATTCTACAACGGGATCTGGCTTGGCAAGGATACAACCACAGGCAAACCCCTCCTTGGGATCTACAACACGATTGGCAGAGCAAGGGCAATCAGAAGGCAGATTATGCCTCACAAATACAATTAGCAACTACTGGACTGTGTATACACAGGTCCATGGATACACAGGTCCATGGAAGACACCAGCATCAGCACTGCACACACCAACTCTCACAACACCATTGACAATGCCAGCTACGAGCAAGGCACCACCATCACAGAAAGATGCAACAACTAGCACAGCAGCAGAAGGCAAGAGACGGAGCGCAACAGAAGCAGGCGATCAGCCAACAAAGCAGAAGAGAACAACAGAGCCAACATCTCCCATGGCTACATCACCAACACACCAGAAGCGACCAGCACTGCCAGCACCACCGCCTACATCACCCACAAGAGAAAGAGATGACACAATAGCAGAAGGCAGTACAGGCAAGCAACAGCATACCGCAGCAGAAAGACAAGCACTTGAGCGACCTACAACATCAGAACAACCAAAGAGCAAGATGAGGATAAACGCCATCGAGTTCACAACAAAGCATGGTAAACAAATGCAAACAACATCCAAGGAAGATGCAGAAGAAATCAACAATGAAAGGATCCTACTAGAGCCAATCCTACATGACACAGAAGACTTGGATCCACAACAGGTAGCACAAGGAATGAAGAAGGAAGTACAACAAATGAAAGATCAATCAGTCTTTACAGAGATTGATTTCAACATGAGGACACCAGAACAACAAGCAAACATCATCGAGTCTAGATGGGCTCTCAAACAGAAGCACAACGAAGTGCGAGCACGCATAGTAGCAAAGGGTTACACAGAACCCGTTACAGACCATGATCTCTTGTTTGCAAGTACACCATTGTTTTGCATACTGAGGATACTCATTGGCATTGGTGTACAACTGGTTGGTCATCGCAGAAGATGTCAGTGTGGCAGTTCTACATGCAGAAGCAATCTCCTACAACCTGGTAATGCGACCACTGTAAGTGGGATCAACACCGTAGTGTAATCCTGGGGTTCCTCCGGTGTAGTCGGAACGATGACGTCCACCGCTTCCAATGTAAAACCATCACCTGTGGATGCAAAGTCTTGTATGCGCGATGTGCCATTGATGCAAAAGCCGAGTGTCTAAGGTTCCTCTAGACCTCAAATGTAAATGGCTGCGGCATGCACTGAACCATTGTCAGAAACATGTACAGAATGTCATGCAAAAGTTGTTGTCCCAAAAGATGTACAAGGGGGTTGTAGAGGCTTCAGGGTTGACCCATGGCTGTATCTAACCTAAAGCTAAAAAAGAGCATGCGCCGGCCGTTTGGTAGTAACACAAACATGTGTGAACTGTGCACCTGTTGTTTAACAACCTGTGCTGACTACTGTACTCACTGGCTGTTGTGGTGTGGCCTCACAGGCCAACGTTGCACAAGTGCTTGTTGAGGGTGTCACAGCTGACAAACTTTGTTAGCAAGTCAGCTGGGTTGTCTTCTGATTTTGCCTTGTGCATTGTGATGATTTTGCTTCTGACAAGTTGTTGTATGAGGAGGTGTCGTAGTTCGATGTGTTTTGCTTTCTTTGATGTACCTTCTCTCATTGCTATGGATTTTGCAGAGCTGATGTCTGTGTGTATCCTGATGTTGGTGCGTACCTCACAGCTCACAAGTCCAAGTGTGACTGCGAGAATGTGCGCTATTTGGTCTTGCCAGTGTTTTGGTGATGATCGTAGGCTATAAATGGCTTTGTTCAGCCGCCACATTATGTGTCTGTTTTCTTCATTGTGGAACAGTACAACTTCATGACGACTACTGTTACAACGGAGCAGAATCAGCTTCAAAAGGTCCCGGGCTACATGCGATGCCCCACATTGGGTTTCGTCGGTATGTTGTATGGCATTGGCTACATCAACTGGTTGATACAGTACAGTCGACTTGGGCACATTCCAATTTGACCAAGGACTACATCATCCTTCAGCACATCATTATCCCTATCGAGAAGGTACTGAATGCAAAGGATCCCCTCGACAGGATCCATGCAGGTTTCTTGATGGCTTTGAACCATCATACATATTCTGCAGTACAGACCATCTCGGAGCCTTTGCAGACAATGGTCATCGAGTACATTGTCCAACATGGAATACAGCTGATGGGAAACAGCACGGACCTGATCCCCGAACAGATTGGGCACAGCGACCAACGCTTGCAGGAGATTGACAGCGCAATGATTTTGTCACAACATCAGGGCTACAAGCTGCTCAACAAAAAGAAGGTCATGGATTACAGCACTTGAGTACATCAAGTACATTTTGCCACAATGGCACACCGCAACTCGTGGTACAATTGATCCGACAGCAAGGGACATCGATGATCGATGTACAGTACATCTGCTTTCTGGCTATCAGTTTACATGCAGTGTTTTCTTACATCATCCCGATCCACTGCTAACATAGCACAATTTGAGGAGGGATGTTAAATACATAACAGTCTTGTACAGATCGCCTACATGTGACGACCGTTACATGTCGGCACAAGGCCTTGAGCCTAGCCCATGCCCGCAGTACAAAAGATTACAACCGTGCCGTGTCGTTCGCATCACAGGTCCAACACTTCACGTCAACAGGTTCTACATTCACAACATTGAGTTTAACATATACATATATACATATATGTTATATGTACATTATATGTACTATACATATGTATTTATCTATACGTATGTGTATATCTATCTATCATTATATATATATATATCATCCTGCGCCCTCCGTCTCGGTTGTTTCTCGGTTTTTCCGTTCTCCGGGTTATTTCCAGAAAACCCTCTGAAAACTAGGAGTTTCAGGTATTTCACAAAGCAGGAGTGGCTTGCAACAGGCAGGAGTGAAAATCAAAAACTAGGAGTGGTTCTTGGGGGAAACAATTGGAAACACGTCTTGCTGTCTTTTTTTGTTGTTTGGGCCCGCAATTATACAACTCTGTACACTATCCGAGCACTTATGCAACTCTGAGCACATTAGAGTGGGTATTCTACTTTTTTCTATTTTTTTATCTGAACATGCACTCTCCGGAAACTCCGTCGTTTTTTGACTTGCGGGAGTGTGCAGGTGTTTGCGGGAGTTTGCGGGCGGTTTGCGTGTTTTGTTTTTGCGCTGAGTTTTTGGTGTGGTGCTTTCCGGGTTTGCCACGTGGCGCCCAAAGACGCAAATTCTGAACAATAATTCCGAGTTCCGAATTCTGAAAAACTGATTCTGATTCATGTGAAATGTTCTGATTCAGAATATTTCTGAATTGGAGGGCTCCTTCCATCAAGTACCGAATATTTGCGATTTCTAGCAGTTTCAGGTGTGCAAACCAATTTCCAGGAGTGACAATCAATTTCTAGGAGTTGCACCGCAAAAACCAGGAGTTTGAAAACTCTGTGTTTTGTTTACTGAGACGCTAAAAACGAGTAGTCTCCGGATTTTATGTTAAATTTCCGCCAGTTGGAAGATCCAGGACTATATATCTATGAGCAACGTTGGCCTGCAAGGTTCCCAGGACCCTTTTGAGAATTCCTTTCTTCGGTTCTAAGCGTCTTACTTCGCCTGAGGGGTTTCTGTGGGTTTTCTCTGAGGCGACGCTGCCCATCATGAACCTCCGGTACCGCAAGGCGGGGTTTGGAAGGAAATCCGATGGCACTCGGGGGTTCGAGGCTTGTGCTTACCAACAAATGGCGGGGAATGCCAGAAAATTCCAAAAACAGGGGTTCTTTTGGATGTCCAATTTCCCTCGCAAACACTTGGCGGTTCCCAGCCGTCCCCTTAGGTTTTTAGATTTTTCGTGTTTAGTGGGAGTTTCCACTAAATCCACTACAAGTCTTAGCAGAGGATCTGAGGACAGCTCAGAACAATCCATCCAAATTAGGGGGTTCGCACATCTCGCCACCAGTAGTACTTGGCAAACCCTTGTTCACCCTGCCTCTGTGTAACATGGAACCCACCAGAAGATCCCTTCAAGACCAAAAACTGGTTTTTCAAGGGCCTCCTCCAGTTAGGTTGCATTTGACTCGCTACTTCCCCTCCGGGTGATGAAGGTAAGTCCTTCGGAGCGTTCACGAAACGTTGTTTTTTTTTTGTTTTTTGTTTTTTCTGCGGGGGGGGGGAAGTCGCGCCACTTCACCAACTTCCGCGTAGGAGTGTGAGGCCAGTGATCTGAGTTGCGGGGAAGAGGGTGGGGAGGAGAGCAAGGGATAGGCAGGACCTTGGGGGCCGGGACCCTCCTCGGGGGCAGGGACCCTCAAATCCTTTTTGTTTCTCTATTTTCCACAAATCCGCGGTTGGGGAGGGGAGGTGGGACCACCCGAACAAACTGATGTTGCTCATACTGTACCCGTTCATGTACGAAAATCCAGGAGCGCCAGGCTCCTTGTTTCCCATCAGAGGCGGTTGCAGAACTGGCTGAAACAAACGGACCATGGTCCCCTTCACAAAAAGAGTGGTTTAAACAGGTTTAGACCAAAAGTTGGCCCCACCCTGTTTTCCATAGGCTGCATGAATGAATCCCAGCGAGTTCCAAACTTATGCACCCTTCCGGGCGACGAGCCGAAGTCAGGATTCTTCACTTCCAGTCAGACTTTGTGCACAGGGAATGAGTTGGGGTGACCCCTATAAGCAATCACTTGTGGCTTCCTTTCCGGGAATCCCCTGGTTCATTCCCCGCAGCCGGAAGGGTCATTCCTGAGCACCAAGAGATTATCCCGGAGTTTGCCCGTGTCTTTCCAGCATGAAGCATGAAGCCAACTCTGCCAGTCAATGCAGCTGGAAGTGCAACTGGGCAACATCTATGAGGCCTATGTCCCAACGGCGCCTTGGAAAGGGCTTGCGAGGGGCCCGCCCGTCCTGGCCGGTTTCTGGTCAGCTTTGAACATCGACCTGTTGCCATTCTTTTCAAATTTGGTCCATTTGTTCGACATGATTTTAGTTAAACACTAATTAGATTGAGTTTCCTTTTGGTGGGTGACGTTTCAAGCTGAGATGTGTCCTTTGGGTTTGGTGAATGAACGGTCGCACCTGACCTTATGAATTGTTGGAGCGCGTCCAAACAATTTGTTTATAAAACTCGCCCACTTGGTTCATCGCCCGTGGAAGTGTCCGTTTTGCTTTGATACGATTGTGGACCGCGACGAAAGTTGCCGTGATGTGCATGAGTCACTCCACCCACGCCACTTTCTCACTTTCCCATCCATTAACTAACGCTAAGAGAAACGCAGCATGCCCAGCCCTTGGCGAGGTACCGAACTGGACACGGCGGACCCCAGAAGCAACACAACTGAACCCCTGCGACAAAATGGCCTGATACGCCGCGGGACATATCCAGAACATCCAGCCTGGGCGTCAAAGTCGGATGAAAGTGCCGAAGGGCTTTGCTCCCAAAGTGGGACAAATCAAACATGGGCTCCTCTGTATACAGCACCCACCCACGTACAAGGCGGGCGCCAGAAGCAGACGCGAGACCTAAAGCCCTCGTTCGCGATGGGTCAAAATTAAACCACCAGAGGACCGCAGGGTTTAGTCCTTAGTTCTATTTGCCCGGGTTCCATGTTGGGTCCCTATTCTTGACCCACTGCCATGTCTGTTCTTGAACTCTTTGCCACCACGGCGTTGGGGGGGTGGGGGGGTGGGGCGGAGTTCCTTTGGCGTGCGTGGGTGCGACCATCGCTGGACTTGACATGGGAAAGTGCGAGGGCGAACTCCCATGGGAAGTGACACGTTCCAGCACTCACACAGGACCAGATGGTCCTCTTCCCCTCCAGCTCTGGGCCAAAACCATCGTTCCGGCTTGCTTTGCCCGCCCTTTGAAGGCGCTCCGACGTTCTTCGGCTCCCCCGCGGCTGCAAGGCTGCAAGGTTCGAGCGCTCGAGCGCTCGGCGGCTAAGCGTGAACACCTCCGGCGGATCTCCCGCAGCATCTGGAGCTGAGGTCGGAGAGCTCGGAGGGACGAGCTCGGGTCGTGAGAACGAGATCGAGCGGCCGCGAGTTGCGCGGGAATTGAGAAGAACACCGGAGCTGGGTTCTGCTTAAGATTCTTGGGCCAGCTGAGAATGGTACTGCCAGAGGAGCAGCTGCTTCAAGAATGCCGACCCGGCGGGCGGCGTCAATCCGCCGAAAAATTGAGCTCAAGGAGCTCCACGCGTCGGAGCTCTCCAAGGCGTTTTGGGACTTGGAGAATGTGCCGCGAGTTTGGGAGAGCAATTTCCCCGAAAGGTCCTGGGATCGTGAGAGAATAGCAGGTAACGGGGGATGGACCTGGGCGCTTTGGTGGTGATGCCAGCGCACGTGCGGCATGCTGAGTCATATGTTCTTCCACGTCTTCGGCCCGAATCTGCGATCTCGTGGAGCGTCATGCATGAGGAGGTGATTGCGAATGGCAAGGTGGGGTCGCAGTTTGGCTTGGCGGCAATCTGAAAGCTACTTCGGCGTGGAAAGGCCTCATAACAGAAGCTGGAGAGTGGAATTTTCAGGGCATCAGTTGTCCTGATGTGACGAGAATGTGCGGTTGGAGGGATGTTGGAGGGTTTTACTTTGGGATTTCAGCATTGGCCCTAAATATGACCTTCACTGAATCATTCGTTGGTATTCACCTTGGAGACCCCTGCAACACCTTTTCAAGAGCTCGTAAACCGCCGCCTTTGGGATCCCAAAATGCGCGCGCCGCTGTGGCACTTTGGAGAGCGTCCGGCTTGGAGAAAGCGAGTGTCGATTTCGCTGGGCGCCTTGTCATCGCACCCTTGCCTTGCGCAGGCTTGCCAGGTGCTCTGCTTTGGCCCGCGCGACTTGAGCTTTGCCTCCGAATCATGCGCCAACAACTTGCAAGCTCGTGTCAGATAGGGCCAGAGGGCACGCTGCTATTTAGGAGTCATGCAGATTTGGGTGGGGAGCTCTTGTCCGCGGGGGGGCCAATCCGCGAACCCGCTCTCTCTGCAAAGCAAGACGGCGCTGGCCGTTGAGAATTAGACGCGTCAATAATCGATAATCCCCGAATCGTCAGCTGTTAGGACTTTAACTTTTTGCCAACTAATCGGTTTTCCACTAAACCACTAAAAGTTAAACTTTTAGCAGGGGAGCAGAAAGCAACCGAGCTGAGTTGTTGTCGGTGTGGTTGTTTACGTTGCGAATTCGGACCTTCTCTAGGGAAATGGGAAACCGCCGAACCTCCAAATCTGCAAACCAGCAACCGAAAGTTGAACGACGTCAAGTCGATCGTTTCTGACCCATTTGACGTCGGCCACGGGCACTGCACTTTTCGCAGGCAAAACTCCCATCCCCCTTTTTTTGGGTTGGCTTGACAGAAACGAAGCTGCAAGAAAGGAAACGATTCTTGAGACTCAAACCAACCCGCGGTGAGGTGCTCCGGGACATGCTCTATGGCACAGTGCGACGATACGTCACCGGCGCGCTGATCAGCGCCGGATTCATCGGCACCAGCCCAGAGGCGCCCTTTCCAGACAATATATGTGCGAACTTGGTGTGCTTGTTTGCTTGCTTGCCGGCTGGCTGGCTGTCTGGTTTGCTTGCTTGTTTGTTTGGCGGTTGGATGTTTGGATGCTTAGATGCTTGGGTGGCTGGGTGACTCTGTGCGTGGGTGGGTGGTCGGTCCGTCGTCCGTCCTTCCTTTTGTTATTTTGTTGTTCGTTGTTGTTTGCTTTGCTGTTTTCGTTCTATTTGTCTGTCTGCTTGTTTGCTTCCTTGTTTTTCTTCTGTTTTTTCTCCCTCCTTTTTGTTGATTTGCTTTGTTTCCCAACTTTTGGTGTCTTGCTCACTGTTGGTTGATGCAAAAGGGGGCTCGCCTGCAAAATATGCTTGTCAACCCAAAAAGCCGTCCCCCCAGAGTACGGAAGGGGACGTGTCCCCAGGACCCTTCGCCAGTTTGCCATTTGTGCCATGGAATATCATGATGGGGGGGGGGGGGGGGTTGACTCCCAAAACACCCGGGTTTCCTCCAAAAATGGCGATCCTTCCAATCAAAAAGTACCTGTGAATGGGCGTGTCTTTATTTGGAGGCCCTCCCAAAGCGGTGGACGTCCTTTCGGTGTCCCTTTAAAACCAACCAAGAAAGGGGGACCAACTAAAGAAAAAAACCAAGTGGCAACTTTGCCTGGCTCGCATTTGCTTAAGAATATTTGTTATCTCCCCTGTTGATGTTCAAGGGAAACTCTCACTACTGGAGATGTTTCTTTTTTTTCCAGGGGACTTCAGCAAATGGCAGAGATGCGTCGAGTTTTTGAGGATCATTGCCCTAGATGGAAGTTGCATAGACCTGCGTCAATACACGGGAGCAGCGGGAAGGAGGAGAGTCTCCAGGTACCCCCATTTACCCTCCCACCGCCTAACATGGAAGTGCACATATTTTTGTAGAAAGACTACATTCCTCTTAGAAAGGGTCATTTCTTCCAAAAGCAACTTAACCAAATGGATGCTGGGGACATCCCGTCCGAGGTGCTGCTGCTGGCGGTGATCTTGGCTCGGGCGGCCTCCGCGCCCCTGAACGAGTGGCGGGGGTACCAGCTGCAGACCAAGGCCAAGCGGCTCACGCTGGAGGACTTCCCTGTTTCATTTTTGTTTGTTAGTTTTTTCAATTTCGTCGTTCTTTGTTTCATGTTGTTTGTTCTGTTTTGTTTGTCTGTCTGCCTGCATGCCTGCCTGCCTGTCTCTCTGTCCGTCTGTCTGAGTGTCTGTTTGGCTTGTCTGTCTGTCTGTCTGTCTGTCCGTCCGTCCGTCCGTCCGTCTGTCTGTTTCTTTGTCTGTCTGTCTGTGTGTATATCTATATTACATAAAAATGTCTGGGCTCTCATTGCCAGCTTGTCTTCTTGATTTTACATGTGCTGCGTTATTGTGTTGCTATATGTTTGATTTTTGCCCGTGGACCGTCTTCAGAGTCCCGTTCCGCCAGCAGAAGGTTAATCAATTTTGAGCATCACTCGAAGTCTGGCCCAGCGTTTGGAGTGTCTTTTCTCAAGCTAATGCTGCCGGGGCCAGAATCCGACTGCAACTGTGGAACACTTACTTCCATTTGCTGAAATGAATATTTGTTCTTTTCCCCTGTTGGTTTTAAAGGCTGGATTTTTTCCCCGGCTTAAGCAAATGAAGGATTACAATGCTAGAGGCAAGGGAAACCCAAGGCAAGGCCAACCCGATGTCCCAATACCGGTCGTTGGGGTGGGCACGAGAAACGAAGCCATGTTTAGGGCCACTGAGAAAGGTTTTCCTTCAAAGCGAAACAGATTCTGGTTCACATCACCTTTTGTGGCCCAGCGAACTAAAACAGATACTGTTTCAGCCAGTTGTGCAACCAACTTTTTGGCCGCTCTTCTAGACATCACCTTTTGTGGCCCAGTGAATTTATGTCTTCGTCGATAGGTTTGACATATCGAGAATCTTCCCTCACATCTCACCGCCAAAGATCACCTTGGCCAGGTGAGTTGCCTGCTGCGTAGATGGGAGGAATCGCTCACCTAGCTTTGCCCTGGTAACCAAAGCCAGGGTGTAGGACCCTACCAGAGTTGCTATCCATATAGCGAGTGATCCCCCATGGAAGTCTTTATGGCAATTTGGTTGGATCGTTGGACTTTAACTTGTTAGCTGAGCAGGTCGGATTTCCCATTGGACTCACAACAACTTAGAAACACTTTTTGCAGAGGGGTCTCGCCAGCAACCAAGGCTTCTATGGTATGGGACAAATCGCTTTGATAGTAGCCCTGGCAGGGATCTGCTTGGTCTTGTTTCAACCGAAAAGTCAAAGTCCAAAGATCCATTGCTGAATAGCCTTGTCATGTTCCATCGGAAAGGTTTTTCAACCCTTTCGCAGGGGCGTCTCGCTAGCAACCAAGAAGTCGATGATCCATGTTGGATTTTCATTTGGGACTTTCAGCTGGGATTTTCCCTTGCGCAGAAAAGTGAAGTTGTGTGGTGTGCGTTTTGTCGCCAGTTGTTGTTTGCAGTGTTTTTGGAGTCTCTGGGAAGGTCCCTTGGGCGCAGACAAGTTGCTGTGTGTGTGTGTGTGTGTTCTTTCGCCAGTTGTTGTGTTTTTTTTGTTTCAGGACAGATCATGTTCCATTGGACAGTTACAACCACTCTTTGCAGAGAAGTGTTTCCTTTCCTTGGTGGCTCCCAGCCCGGTTCCTTAGCTTTTCAGATCCTAGCGAGTGGCGGTTTCCGTATTTGACCCACTAAAAGTTCTTCGTTCTTCTCGCGGGGGATCTGAGGGAGTTTCGGAGGAGTTCTTCCGTCTGGAGAACTTCCTGCGGTCCTTGCTGGTGGGCATGGTGCAGGGCCTGGCGTTGTCGGTGGGCTACTCCTACGCCCCGGCCATCGCCACGCAGCTCAGGCTGTGGGAATCCGGTGTGGGAGACCATTTTGGGGAAATGAGCCATGTTGTAATTATGCTTGAACATGAACACTGAAAAATAAAACCCTGGATGAAAATCCCCTAGGGGCCCCCTATTAACTATTGTTAGGTGCACCCATTTTGGTCTATTTTAGTGGGGATTGGGATGTTCACTGGGGGTACGATTTGGATTTTGACCCATGGCCAGGTGAGAAGCGGTTGCAAGCGCTTGCCTGCCGCCTGCCTGGCGGGGCACCCCACATGAGCGGCCAGGTGGTGGGAGCGATGTGTTTGGCGAGAGCATGGGAATCCCCTTTAAAGTGACAAGGTAAAAATAAATAAATGGCGACTGCAAGGATGTAAACAACAACTACCTAGGTCAGCTTGGGTCAAACCCAAGGAACCAGTGACTGCTGCAGCGGCCATAGTGTGGCAGTTGCATGTTTCCTCTAAGGGTGGAAGTACATACCCCTTGTTCATCACCCTCGGCTTCCGTGGTTTCCAACCCACTTTATAGGGCGTATATACCCCTTTTGGGGAGAGGGGTATGAACATCAGCAGGCCTTTTGGGCTCATTTGTCCAAGGGGTACGTAAAAGGGGTATGTACAAGCACCCCTGGACTCTGGAAAGGACCTGTGTCGTGAAGCGCAGGCGTATTTCCTACGGAGGGGCAGAAGCGCCCGGCAGATATATGTTGGTTTGTCCGAAACCGGGGCGGCCGGGATGTTTGAAGGGAAGCCAGCGGATGTGTATGAACAGCTTCCCCTGGTTTGGACACTCGAAGGCCCTTTTGAACTGGTTGCATGATTTTAATGTAGATGCGGAGCAAAGCCTCGCCTTGAGAACCCCATGCGGAAGGGCTAAAGGCAGATGGAACACATGGCAGAGAGCGAAAAAGCGCAGAAGTACCAAGCGGCAAGACACCGTACGCAGCCCAGGCTGTCCATATTGCACATGCGAGGAGGAGAATTCAAGCCCATGAATTCGAGTCACAACAAAGAGCATGGGAGCCTGCCTGCCTGCCTGCCTGCCTGCCTGACATCCTTTCTGCCGGCCTGCTGACCCTTCTGACCAACTCGAACAGCTCACTGCAACATGTGGGTAATTATGGGTCAAAATTAAACCACCAGGAATTGGACCGCAGCTTTTAGTCCTGCTTCCATTTATTAGGGTTCCATTCTGGGTACCTATTTTTGACCCACAGCCATGTTGAGGACGTGGAAGATGAGGATAAGAAGAAGGAAGGGGGAGGAGTCCGGGAGCTGCGTGAGGATGGGGACGACCACGATGGCGATGAGGATGAGGAGAATGGTAACGACAATAGTTACTGTGGATGGACGAAATCCTCTTAGGCACCGCCTAAGAAACCCTGGTTTCTGATGATTATTCTGTAAATATCAACCAACATTGGTTTCAACCATGGTTTCCAAGTGGTGCGAAACGGATTTCGCCACCATCCACAGCATGATTGTTATTAGGAGGACGATGGCAGAGGTGGTGGTGCTGGGTGCCGCTGGTGTTGCTGGTGCTGGTGCCGGTGCTAGTGCTGGTGGTGATGAGGAGAAGCAGGAGGAGGGCGGAACGGGGAGGGAGTATCAGGATGGAAGCAGACGGGGGAGAAGGAGGAACATGAGGACGTGGATGTAGGTGTGGGGTGGATGGCTATTGGAGGTGAATGTGGCGGAACCTTCCATTCAACCACCAAAAAGCTGTGCTTCTTCGACGAACCTGTCAAATGCCAAACCAAACCAGGACCTTTGGGATGGAGATCTGGGAGCCTCGTGGGGCCGTGCCTCTGCCGGCCATTGCCACCCACTCCCGGAGGCTCAACGCCCATCCAGTCAGCCTTCTCTTGTGCAAGCTGTCGCTATCTGCCTTGGCGAATGTGATTTGTCCAAAGCCAACATTGTTTGACCTTTTGGGTGCAGCTTTTCTTCTGGTCCATTTGTAGTCAAAGCCCCAAAAGGTGATCCTTGTTTTTCTGGGTCGTTGGGGCAACTGACTCTTTAGCCACTACCTTGACTGCTTTCGGCTCAGCAATTGCCGCGACATTGGAGGAAGCCTATATCAAAAAGTGTCGTTGCTTTGCTACAGGCCGATTGACTTATGCATGAATTGAGCGAATGCGCGGATTGATAATTGAACACGCAATTAGACATTAATATTAAGGCACCAACACTTACACACATTCCACCATTTATCACCATTTGTCAACCGGAAGAAGCTGTCTAGAAGGCGAGTGCGTGTCTCCTGTCACCGAACTGCATCACCGGCTGCTCAGTCGCCCGCCATGCATCAAGAGGCAAAGACGGTCGACGAGCAGGCTGGACACCCACCGAGTCTTGCCTGTTACCGCGGTGGGTGCACTTGTCCAGTCTTTGTTCTAGCCACTATCCAGAAGACGGCCGCATGTTACTTGTTATTCTGGCAGAGAGCCAAGCTCAGATCAGGCTCGCGCCTCTTGTTCGGAGGGCGTTGTTTCCTGGGGCAATTTCAAAGGAGGTTTCCCCCATTGGCAGGCGCGCACGCTCAAGTTGCTGTGTTGGCGTGGGCCCGAAGCCGGTAGAGACAACTCTTACCACCGAGAGACAGTTCTAGGACCAATTTGGGTCTGTCTCTTTTTGAGGGTACCCTTTTTTTCGGGTCGGTTCAGAGGAAAACCACAACACCACCCACATTTTGGGGGTTACCCACAAAAATGACACGTCCATTTTGGGCAAGCAAGGAGATCACCGAAGAAACAAATCCCTTAGCTTCGGATCCAGCCAGGCCGCCACCTTTCGGCTCCAGTCGCTCGTGCGCGTAGGTGCAGGAGTATGCTGCGCTCCGATGCAACTTCCCGGGGAAGAAGCAACGATGTGGCCAGGTGGTCAGAGAGGCGGGGTGGACATGTTCCAAACCTCCTTTTTTCGGCTGGTAGGGAGGGAGAGTTTTGACCACCATGATAAGGATTATCATCGAAGAAACTATGAACATGGCCCCGATGTGTTCAGCACCACTCGCGTTTCCTGTGTGTTCTTCTCGACTGGACAAGCATTCTATGCTGAGATGCACACACCTTGTGCTCCCCTTAGCTTCATTGCGGTTAGGTTCACCAGAGTTTGTGTGGGTATTGGTCTCTATTAGACGGTCTCCGCTTTTTTACGAGCACCTTCTGACACAATGAGAGAGGCAGTCCGGCCAGATCCCATGTCTGAAACCTATGGCTCGGCTTGAGCCATCTCGAATGGACCGACTTTGAGAGATTAGAGGGACGCGCACAGCAGCACAGCACCACAATATGGGAACCCCGTGATTTTTGAGAGTCTATCTACCTCTCTATCTTGGCAAGCGTGATCTTTTGGGGAGTCCTCGAACGATCCGCGCCAGGGTGTCTTCCTGCGGTGTCGCCATCTGTTCTGCCGGGAGCACGCGCGGCAATGGCGCTGCCGACATCATTAAAAGTGAGGGCCGCGCAAGGAGATGTTTAGGAGGTCTCAGTGAGCTAGCACCTTGCAAGTCACATCAGCTTACATCATGAGAGTCCAAAATACTGTGGATGGAAAAGCGAAATCCATTTCGCGGCACTTGGAAACCATGGTTGAAACCATTGCTTGTTGGGATGTGCGGGGGAATCATTATTCCAGGGTTTCTTAGGTGGTGCAGGATTTCGTCCATCCACAGTATGTGTCTCCGGTTTGTGGCACAATCTGAAGAGTATCAACCCCCCTCTCCCCCCCCGGCAAGTAAGCCACAGAGAGCCTTAGCAGGGAGAGTCCTGGCAACAAGCATGGAGAGCCAAGGGGTGGCCCTTTTCGATGGCTGTAAAGGGAGAGACAAAAAAACGCATCAAACGTTTGTGGCATTGGCTAGTTTAGGAAGCTTTCCTTGAGTTGTTCCCTTTGGGCTTCCCGTCGGTTTCCCGTCGGTTTCCCGTCGGTTTCCCGTCGGTTTCCCGTCGGTTTCCCGTCGGTTTCCCGTCGGTTTCCCGTCGGTTTCTTTGGTTTTCTTTGGTTTCCCTTTGGCTTCCATTTGGTGTTTGTTTGGTGTCCCTTTATTTTCCCTTTGGTTTCCTTCACTCCTTTGTCAAACCCAGCCCCAAGTTGGGCAACGCATCCCGTTCTTCGAACCGGCCGTCGGGTCTTCGCGGCAGGTTCGCCCAGTCGGAGGAGTGCCCCATTTGCCGGGACGGAGCTGCCCGGGTGCCCTAGACGGGAAACACTTGGCAGACGGACGCCTAGTGCCCTGTTACCCTAAGTCGCAAGTCGTCCAGGTCTAAGGGCACTATGATTCCTAGTAGATGGTCCTTAAGTAGCCTAGGGACGCTGGCAGAAAGGAAGCCAAGAGGAACCACTGGGTCCCCCAGCAGTGCCCTTCTTTACCGTTTCTTTTTTGGTTGGGAGGGTTCCCCTACTAAAATCGACTACAGAACAAATTGGGTACCCTTTTCTAGCCTCTCTACTGGAGGACCTAGTGGGAAAGCTGGATCTTTTTGTTCCCATGCTAGGTCCCCCAGTAGTGCCCTTTCTCACCGTTTCTTTTTTGGTTGGGAGGGTTCCCCTACTAAAATCGACTACAGAACAAATAGGGTAACCTTTTCTAACCTCTCTACTGGAGGACCTAGTGGGAAAGCAGGATGTCTTTGTTCCCATGCTAGGTCCCCCAGTAGTGCCCTTTCTCACCGTTTCTTTTTTGGTTGGGAGGGTTCCCCCACTAAAATAGACTACAGAAAAAGTTGGGTAGCCTTTTCTAACCTCTCTACTGGAGGACCTAGTGGGAAAGCAGGATGTCTTTGTTCCCATGCTAGGTCCCCCAGTAGTGCCCTTTCTCACCGTTTCTTTTTTGGTTGGGAGGGTTCCCCCACTAAAATAGACTACAGAAAAAGTTGGGTAGCCTTTTCTAACCTCTCTACTGGAGGACCTAGTGGGAAAGCAGGATGTCTTTGTTCCCATGCTAGGTCCCCCAGTAGTGCCCTTTCTCACCGTTTCTTTTTTGGTTGGGAGGGTTCCCCCACTAAAATAGACTACAGAAAAAGTTGGGTAGCCTTTTCTAACCTCTCTACTGGAGGACCTAGTGGGAAAGCAGGATGTCTTTGTTCCCATGCTAGGTCCCCCAGTAGTGCCCTTTCTCACCGTTTCTTTTTTGGTTGGGAGGGTTCCCCTACTAAAATAGACTACAGAAATATTTGGGGTACCCTTTTCTAACCTCTCTAATGGAGGACCTAGTGGGAAAGCAGGATGTCTTTGCTCCCATGCTAGGTCCCCCAGTAGTGCCCTTTCACCGTTGACAAAGGTACCAAGCTGGCATTTGAGCCACTTGCTCAGCCGATTCGTGTAGATGAAGGTTCGTAAGGGACAAGCCCAACTAGCTGCGGATATTCTGCCTTCTTAACTTTTTACGTGGTTCTGGGTAGACCATGTTAAAACCGGGTTTTGAGTAGGACTCATTTGGAGTACATTTGGTGGAGCAGCCAAAGGTTGGTACAACACATCTGGGCTCTTAGGCAATCCGCAAGATCCTTCCCTTGGGTTGCGCATGGAACCGGTCCTCCTTGGTGGCTTTCCAATAGGCGTGGATTGGGATTGGGCACTCCATTTTGAAGACCCCGGAAAAAGTGAAGCCGGTTCCGGAGAGCTTCCCTTAGCCCAAGTCCTGTTTGATCGTGGCAAACTCAAGTCAGCTTTGCCAATCAACAGCACCACGGGACGCCTTGGATCGCGCAAAGGTTTTAGAGAGGAATCTGTTTCGCTACGTGGAATTGTGAATGCCCGTTGACTGGTCTGGAGGCAGACATCGAACAGCTGGCCCTTTTTCTGAAAAGTCAATACCTCTTCCATACGTTGAGAAGGGTCAGGGTAACCAACGCCCAAGCTGCAAAGTTTGAACATTGACATAGCTCATTTTTTGAGTTTGGACTTCAAACTATTTGGGTAGACCATTTGGTACACAGGGTGACTTGTTCTGATCAATCCACATCGGACGTGAGAACTCACTTTGCGGCACATTTCGGGCCTTGTCCGGGCGGTCATGGGGGACTTCGCACAGGCGAAGCGTCGAGATGTGGGTAGAGCCGACGACAGGCGAATCCCGAAGAGAGAGCTGTCCGTGGTCGGAGGCTGAAATTGTGTTTGGATTGTTTTGTACCAGACACCCGAGCTCATCGGACAATCCATTCCCGCATGTGTTATTTCAATGGCTCCTTAGACCTTCTGGAAACGCCATTTCCCATGAAACCGACAATAATGTGATCGACCTTTTGCTCAGTGTTCCACTGCCTGGTGGTTGCTTTGCTCTGGGGCCGGTTTGTGCGACTCTGAAAATACACGAGGTTTGTTAGGTCCCCCTCACCCCCGCCGTTTTTTTGTGGGGAAGGTCCCGACTCAAACCTCATTCGCGCCAAACTGTCCTTTTGAGTGTTTGGGTTTATGGAAACGGTTTCAACAGAGCAATAGCTCTGTGGCTCGAGCTGGTACCCATGGTACCCCCTTTTTGGGGCTTTTGGGAAACCAAACGGAGAGCCACATTTTGTTTGGTCCAGCCTTAAAAAGACAAGCCACCCATGTTGGATCTGCCGGAACTTTAGTCTTGTGTTCTATTGTGGGTCAAGCAGAAGCCGGAAAAGAAGCATGGCCCCGAATGCAGATGGCCCAAAGGATGGTGTGTAATCTGCCCTTGTTCCAACGGTGGAAGTGACAGTCGGCATATTGACGGTGGTGTTAGTCTTCCAAAAACCCCACGTGCACGTCCGTGATTGTTCGAGTTTGGATGTTAGTTCGGGGAGGACAAGGTGGGGACCAACTCAATTCCGCATCAAAGCTTTGTCGAATCACCCAGCATTTCCTCTTGTTCAGCAAAGACGATTGTCCGTGGCTAAGATGCTCTTGATCCAATTGTGAAGGTCAGTTCTCTGTGTGACCGAAAGTAAAGTTCAATGTAGCAAACAGTAGGGATGCATAATTATGACAGGGCCTGACTCTCGTTTGAGACCTTCGGCATCCGAAGTAGGTCCCCAAAAGAGAACCTTTGCTAGGTCTCCCAGTCGTGCACGTTTACCCCTTTTTTGGGGGGAAGGTTCCCCTGCTAAAATAGACTACAGAAGAAAGGGTACCCTTATTCTAACCTCTCTACTGGAGGACCTAGTTTGATTGCTCAAGATGAGTCCAGTGGCTGCAATGCAAACAATTCCCCATTTGCAGCACCATTTTGACGTTGTCTGCCTAAAGTTCACTAGTGGCACTCGCCAGGGAGCGGTTGCGATTGCTGCAAGAGTTGCTGGTGACCTCCAACCCCTTGGAGGTGCAGGACGGGAATGCGGGGCCAGCTAGTTCTGTATTGACCACAGCCTGAGCCGAGATCCATAAATATCCATAGACTCACTTCCTGAGTCGAACGTGATACGTTTTTGGGAATATCAAATGTGTGTGGCAAACACAAAGCTGGGACTTTGCAGATTTATTCAGGTGAGTCTGAAGGAAAGGGTGTTTGTCAGGCATGGGGTTGTTCAATGTAGAGCCACCTGGCTTTGGGGTCATTGTTGATGGTATTGGCTCAAAGAAGGGCAACTAGGTCCCCCAGGATCGTGCCCTTTTACTGTACCCTTTTTTGGGGAGGGTACTAAAATAGACTACAGAAAAAAGGGTACCCCTATTCTAGCCTCTCTACTGGAGGACCTAGGCAAGAAAGGGAGGGGCAAAGTCCCTTGAACCTCCAGTTAGGCACTTACAAGGCCAGTTTTTGTTGGGTGCTTGTGCTGGAAAACTTCTTCAGTCTTCAGTCGGTTGAGTCACGGTTCAGTCGACATCTTTGAGATTTTGGCTGTTACCTCAGGGGGGTCAGCCCAGATGGGGTGTCGTTTTATCCTTTTTTCTGGTGAGGGTTCCCCTACTAAAATAGACTACAGAACAAAGCTGGTACTTTGATTGGAACCTCTCTACTGGAAAAACCTAGTCTCAGGGTCCCTCCCTGGAGTTGCGGCTTCCCAGACCCACAGTAGCTTGGACTCAGATAGGACGATGAGTTGTCCTGCGAGACATATCGCCCGTTCAACCCCCAAAGACCCACTTTAGTGGTTGGTTCTACTACATGGTTCTTGTGGTTATAGTAAGGTGCATATATATGATGTAACGCCCCGGCATTTAAAGATGAATTCGGTGTGCGTTTCCGCTAGATTTCGGCTTGACGGTTTGATGGCCACACTGGGGCACTCCTCCGAAGGAGAGTGCCAGTGTGACCTGTGCCTGACCCTTAGCAGGGTCAGAGATCTCTGTCGAGGGTCCAGCTATTTCTTCTGAAGCAGGGCCCTCGAGAGAGTTCGCCTGTTGCAGGGGGAGATCCTGGACCTGAGGGACCGGAATCACTGGCTGGCGAGCCAGGGTTCCCCCGGCAGGCCCTCCTGGCATGGGAGGGGAGGGAGGTGCTCCTGTGGAGGGAGCATCTCCGGCGGGAGCTCGTGCTCCTGAGGCAGGAACGGGGGATCTAGAAGAAGGAGACAGCAGAGGCTGGTGAGAGCAAGGACACTGTTGAGGAGAGAGTGAAGGAGAAGAAGAAAAGGAAAAAAGAGGAGAAGAAGGAGAAAGATAGGAAGAGAAAAAGGTCTAGGTCATCGAGAGGGGGTCGTGAGGAGAGCGTTGAGGTCACCAGGAGTCTTACCTCCGGGAGTTGAAAAAGGGAAAAGAGGAGTTTCCGTGGCACCAGACCGGAGGTTCAGTTGGTGTCAAGGAGGAGCCCCCTGAGAGTGAGGAGGAGGTTGAGCATCCTACGGAGGAAAGACACAGGACCCCCACCTCGCCGGTGTCGAGGAGCACATCGAGCGAGGGGCACATCAAGAGGCTAATTGCAAGGAGCAAGGAGGCCACTGAGGAGCGGACTGCAGGTGAGGTGAGAGAAGAGGAGCCTTCTGGAAGTGGAGAAAAGGAGGAAATCAGGAGGGACAACAGCAGGTATCCATTGCGGAGGCACCCAGGTGGGTTGCTGATCCGGCCCAGGGAGGAATACAGAGGAGAGGATAGGAGAGGAAAGAACAAAGGCAGGAAGAAGAGGGAGCAGCAGAGGAGGAGCGCTTTGGTGGAGGTCAAGGAAAAGGTGGAGGAAAGTACTGGGGAGGCAGAGGGCATTAATGCCTCCAAAGGTGGGTGGAAGAAGAGCCGCAGCAAAGGCTCGAGTAGCGGCAAAGGGAAGAGCGAAAGCCCTTGCAAGGCTGCCTGTGGCCCCTCCTAGGGCCCGAAGGAGGCCAGCAGGGGAGGAAGGAAGAGAGGATCCTCCTGTGTTGAGGACACCGGCTGGAAAGGAGGTGGCCTCAGTTGGAGAGAGGTTTGAACGACGTGAGGCTGTGAGTGTGGTGGAGTTGCCGAGGCACGTGTTCAGACCAGGCCAGAGCCTGATTGTGGTGGAAGGAAGCAGCTGGGAGGCCTCAGTGACACTATGTGGAATAGTGGAGAAGGCGGGGTCGCCTTACCGGCACGGACCTCTTGAGGTGGTCCACGGGGAATCCGGGCTGCCGGTGCAAGTTGCACCTGTGCGGAGAAGGCTGCGTGGCAGGGCTATGCGAGGACGGTTTGGTCCATGTGAAGAAGCTCAAACTTCGTCTCCCAGGAGCAGGGGAGGCATGGCTGGACAATTCGTGGGCCACGTACCGGTTCAGGTGGACGAAATGGCGGCCTTGAGAGAGAGGGCCAACGAGCTGGACAAGGAGGAGGTGAGAGAAAGAGGAAAGGACAAGAAGTTGAAGGAGAAACCCAAGGAGGGCATGGAGAGGAAGCGTCCGAGGAGCGTGTCCAGTTCTTCAACCAGTTCATCCAGCCGGAGGAGAAAGAAGAAGAAGAAGAAAAAGAAAAAAGCAAGGAAAGGTGTAAAAGTAGAGGCAGCAAAGGAGCTGAGTGCGGTGTTTGGGAAAACAGGGATGGACCCCGACGTCAAGGTGAGAAGACAGGTGGTGAGAAAGGTGAAGAAAAGCCAGAGGCTTTTGCAAAGGCAGATGGACTCCTCAGATCGGGAGTCGTCAGGAGAGGAGTCGACAGAGGAAGAAGATGCGGGGGTGTTCGAGGAGGCTCAGAGGATAAGGAGAGTAGGAGTGAGAGGTCCTGGAGTTCTAGCAGCAGCCTCCATCACCGAGATGATCTTGGTGGCGGCCTCTGGGCAGTTGTGGGGCCAGAACAGAGACCTGGCCCCTGTGGAGGTTCAGCAGAAGCTCCACGGCGCGATGGCCCGAGAGGCTTTCACCTCCCAGCCCAAGGGACGCAGGCGATCGACCTGTTGCTGCAGTGCCTGAAGTGCCTGGAGCAGGTCTCTCAGGGCATGCCGTGGCAGACTGCTCAGAAGATGGAGTTGTGCCCTTTGGAAACAGCTCAGGCAACCAGGGCGGAGGCGGCGATCGCGATAAAGGAGGCTCGAGGAGAAGGTTCATGGCAGAACCCTGGAAAAGGAGCTCCCGGGAGGGAGAATCCGCAGAAGGGTGGTTGGCGAGAGCCTGGAAAAGGACGAGACGGCAAAGGAAAGAACAAGAAAGGAAAGGAGGAGAAAGGAGCAAAATGAGATGAGAAGAAGTGAGGACGTCCGTGGTTAAATATGGTCAAGAGGAGGAGGTATCGGCCCGCGAAACTCCTAAGAACGGGAGTTGGGGGCGCCCATCCAGAAGAGGGGAGAAGGGTATCTCCCAATGAAGAAGATGAGGAGTATATCTATGGAAAGAGCAGAGGGCGCGAAATGTGCGGAAAAGGATGCTTGAACACAGAGGAGGAGGCCTTGGATGGCGACATCCCTCGGAAGATGACAGACCAAAAGGCAGGAGAGCAGGAGCAGAAAGAGAAGAGTGGAGGTATGAAGAGAATTGAAGTACTGCCGTGCATGAGGGGAGCCAATAGCGCTCCTAGTGGAGAGGTGGCGCCTCTACCCTCGGGCCGACCTGAGGTAGGGGTGCCGGACAAGGTAGGCGAGATACTGGGGGGCCATACCTTTGGGGAGGGGGCAGTTCTTTTGGGAGCAACGCTGTATCAACATTTGGTTGCAAGCTGCATGACCAAGTCCATTGGCAATATTTTTCCCGTTGCCATCAGCCTTCAGCTCCCTAGAAGAACTGTTTCCTAGTGCCCGTGATGAAGAGCTGAGGATTCTGCAAAACATCATATGGTCACTGAATCACCTTCATGGCTCCCCAGTGTCTGCGGATGGAGTTGGGACCCCCTGCCAACAGCGGCTTTTGGGGGTCTCGCACGTTCAGCTGGCTGTTGAAAAAGCTGAGGTTCTGGACTGGGGTGAGTTCTTCAGAGTCAAAGGGGTTGACTACCAAGGGGAGGAGGTCAAGGTTGCGCGTTCGGTATCCTGGAAGATGCTAGCCCCTGCGTTGCCTTCGGAAGTTGGGACGGTCGCCCTTTCAGACGTGTGTGATGCAGGGTGCAAACATTATGTTGACAACTTCGAGAACTATCTTCTCCCGGTTGAGGACCAGGTATTCACTAAGGGACCAAAAGTCATGGTTCCTACCGGTGATTGGGAGGAGCTCGCATCCAACCTGGTTCAACGAGGCATCTGCAAAGTTATTGAGGAGTCAGAGGTTTACCACGTTCAGGACAAGCCCCTGTTGAATGGTCTCTTCGGGGTTTCGAAGGGCGACTGGTGCGGCGAGATTGAGGTCCACAGACTCATTATGAATTTGAGACCCTTGAATCGTATTTGCAGGGGCATTGAGGGCGATAGTGCTACACTTCCTTCGTGGAGTTCTATGGGACCACTGTCGCTGGATATCGAGGAAGATCTTCTCGTATCAAGTGAAGACGTGAGATGTTTTTCTATATTTTTAAAGTGCCCCTTTCATGGCATAGATTCATGGCTTTCAACCGCCCTTTGCCTAGGACCCTCTGTGAGGGGAAATCAGGAACTTGTTACTTGGCGGCGACCGTTCTCCCGATGGGATTCAAGAATTCTGTCAGCATTGCCCAACATGTACATCGGTATGTTTTGCGGCAGGCGTTGATGAACTCAGGTCGCCTAGTTGGAGGTGACCAGGAATTGAGACGAGACAGACCCTTTCCTACTTCAAGTAGTATGTTCCGTATTTATTTGGACAATTTTGACGAGCTCACGAAGGTGAACAAGGGCTTAGCCGCTACCTTGAACGGAGATTTGACTCGCACTGTTATGGCCCTTCAGGAAGAATATGCGAGGTGGAATATCCCCAGGCACCCCAAAAAAGCTGTGGCCCTCCAACCTCAGGCAGAAGTACAGGGAGCAGTAGTCGATGGGAAACGAGGAGTTGCCTATCCCAAGGTGGACAAGATCCTGAAGTATGTGGTGTTGGGACTGAAACTCGCCAGTTCCACCTTTAGCACACAACGACAAGCCCAGATTGTGGGAGGGGGTTTCGTGTAGTTCAACCAGCTACTCGAGTTCGGTATGACCGAGCCTTGAAAGGTTTTTTTTTGTTCCTGAAGTTTAATGGTCAAGTCCTGCCCACTGAGCAGTCCTTATTGGATGAGCTGGTCGGGGAGTATTTAGAGCATTTGTGGGCGAATGGTGAAGGAAGAGCCCTGGGGTCCGATACGCTAGCCGCTATACAGGATGCGCAACCCCAGGTGCGAGGCAAGCTCCAGCAAAGCTGGAGACTTATGAAAACTTGGGCTTCGAATGAGTTACCCAATCGTGCGCCTCCACTTTCCGAGGATATCCTTCACGCGCTAGTTGGTTTAGCGCTCTTTCGCAAGGATCCGCTTTTTGCCCTTTCACTCCTTCTGGGCTTTTATTCCATGTTGCGCACTGGGGAAATTTTGGGTGTGATGAAATCCCATGTTTCTCCAGGAGCCGGGTTTACTCCAGCCGTCGTTTCGCTCGGGAATACCAAAGCCGGCTAGAGGCAAGGTGCGGCCAAAAGTGTCACCGTGTCTGTCGTAGATGTAGTTCGTCGGCTGTCACAATGGAAGGAATCCACAGTGACTCCTGTTAGCTTGTGCCCCCCGCCCCATACATGGCGGCAGAAGTTCGCGCAGTATCTCAAGGATCTGCATTTGGACGCCTTTGAATTTCGTCCATACAGTTTAAGACGGGGCGGGGCGACTTTTTGGTTTCGTAAGCATGGATCTTTGGATAAGATTCTTGTCCAAGGCAGATGGCAGGCGCAGAAGACAGCCCGCATCTATCTCAATGAAGGTTTAGCCGTTCAGGCTGAAATGAAGACACCTCGCCACCCGGATTTGGCGGTGTTCAAAGCTCAGTACTTGAAGGCAGTCAAAGCACCACTGCCGAAATTTGAGCATGCCAAAGGCAGGACTGGGGGACGTGGAAAGAAAGTCAAAAGAGAGGGGTAATCCGACCCTTTTTTCAAAAACCGCCTCGAAAGACTAGCCCCCTTTTAGTTTCTGGGCTTGGCCAGACAAAGTGGGGTGGTCTTTAAGACTGGGGCTGGGGCTTACCTGGGCTTGGCCAGGAAGAGCCCAGGGTCTTGAAAACCCACTGGGAAGAGGGTTTTGGTTGTTTAACATAAGTTTCAGGTTTCAGTTTTTCAGACAAATCTGGTCTTGCAGCGCGGAAAAAGGCAAGCCAGAATGAATCTTTGATGTAACGCCCCGGGATTTAAAGATGAGTTCGGTTTGCGTTTCCGCTAGATTTCGGCTTGACGGCCACACCCTCCCGCCCAGTCAAAAGAGAGGTCGAGGGGTAATCCGACCCTTTTTTTCAAACACCGCCTGTGGGAAGACGGCGGCTTGATTTTTAAGGAGTCGAGGGGAAATCCGACTCGTTTCTGGGCTTGGCCAGACAAAGTGGGGTGGTCTTTAATCAAGACTGGGGCTGGGGCTTACCTGCGCTTGGCCAGGAAGAGCCCGGGGTCTTGAAAACCCACTGGGAAGAGGGTTTTGGTTGTTTAACATAAGTCTCAGGCTTCAATTTTTCAGACAAATCGGGTCTTGCAGCGCGGAAAAAGGCAAGCCATAATGAATTTATATATATATATATGTGCAACCCCCTACCCCAATTTTGACACAAATCCAAGAAGCAGAAAAGGCATAAACCACTGGAACAAATACAGGTCAAACCAGGGTCCACGGCGGGGGGGTACCAAAAAGTATATGCTTTTCTAACTAGCTTGGTAGAACCAAAAGCCAACGGGTTTTAGGCACCGCTCGCGTGAGGACAATTTGGAGTCTGTAGAACCGAGTTCCGATGGTTACCAGTACTTCTAGGGTTTCATCTGTTTAAAGTGGTGCAGCTTGTCCATATAGCAAAGCCAAGAGCCCATTGCAAACAGGCGAATTTGAAGGTGGCCTGACAGGTTCCGTGAGCTTAGAGCCTCACCAGGGTTCATGAATCCTGGCTGAACATGGCCATGAAAAAACAAAATCACGCCTCTCTCAAACCAAAACGCAACATATGGGTGTGCTTTTTTTTGGAGGGTACCTTTTTGTTGGTGAATTTAAAGGGGAACGACACGTTGAGCACCGAAGCCAAAGTTCGAGGGAGTCCAACCAAAGAAAAGGCCGACCCATGTGGAACAAGCCACCGCTTCGTGAGGAAGCTGCGTCCATGGCCGTGGAGATCTGGGAGGGTCAGAAGGCTGAGGCCGGAGAGGGAGGAGTTTGCTGCGAGGGAACCGGACATCTCCAGGTCCATGTCGAGCTTCTTGCTGCGACTGGAGTTTTCTTGAACTCTGCCCAGGTGGTCAAAATGAAACCACCAGTTTGGGGTTGATTCCTTGTCCATTCTTTTCAGCCATCGTTCTTTTTCCAAAACCCCTGGGTTTTGATGGTTTCCTGAAAAGATCCGGATCCCTGCAAAGTACCCCTAGAACAGTTGGTTGGGCTGTCAGCTGTGAGCCGATCGCCATGTCCAAGGGTTTCAAAGGTGGTTTTCTACAAGGATCCGAATCCCGGGGTTCGGAGTGGAATTGGAAGTTACCCCTAGAACCAGACCTTGGACCGCTTTGAGTCCGTGTTTCCAGTTACCAGGCTTCTATTTTGGGTACACATGTTTGACCCACAGCCAAATCTGCGAGAATAATATTATTGGATTATTTACGAAATCATGGAATGCTTAAAATTCGGGGTACCAAACGTATTCTTAAAATTTGAAATTGAAATCAAAGAGTTTATTATATATATATATATATAGTGTAACATTGTTCTTGGTATATTTTGAACGGGAAATGTAACGGTCCCCAATCGCTGGTGGATTGATAGGGCACCAAGTGTTCAGGGTTCCCTCTGACATGGGCTTTATCTTGCTGGTCCGATACGCAGGGAATGAGAAATGGACTCACCTCGAGAAGATTCCCCAAAACCGGTTGATTCCGAACGCCCGGACTCGATCATGGATCCATGTTTGCAGGTACACTCAAGCCCAGTGGTCCATTTCTCAAAAAGGGAAACTCGCGAGATTGAGGGAGAGTCTGTGTGTGTATGTGTATGCATGCGTTTGTTTGTTTGTTTGTTTGGTTGGTTGGTTGGTTGGCTGTTTGTTTGGTTGTTTGTTCGTTTGTTTGTTTGTTTGGTTGGTTGGTTGGTTGGTCGTGCGAAATATTCACATGCATTCCCACCTTGATGTGAGTTCATTGTCATGCATTGCATTGCATGGCTCAAGGCTGGTTCAAGGGCAGGATTGCCTTCGGGCAATTGTAGCATTGAAAAGGCGTGAGTGCTGCCTTGGTTGATTAGCTGAGATTAGTCTTGGATTTTCACATGGTAGCGGAGCACGAAGATTCTGGAATCCTTTGGGAGACCTGATTCTCGAGCAGCCATGGCCTTGGGAACAGATGACGATTTTGCAGGGAAGTTGCCTATGCCAGGCAAGTTCTCTGGCAAGCCAGAAGATTGGGAAGACTGGAGCTGGGATTTCAGAACATATCTCAGCATGTTTTTGCCGGATTCGACAACAGTCATGGATCGCATTGGGGCAAATTCGGATGTGGTCATTGAAGACGGTCATTTGGAAGTTGCAGGTGACCCACAAGCGACAAACAGTAGGATTTCCAATGCAAGACGGCTGCATTTTTTGTTAGCAAATTTGTGCACCGACTCTGCAAGATTGGTGGTCAGGCAGAACACTGGATGCAATGGGTATGAAACCTGGAGGTGATTGTATTCCAAATTCGCATTGCTGGATGCAAAACGCCACATGAATTTGCTTTGCCAGATTCTAGATTTCAAGTTCAGTCCCCAGACTTTTGAACAAGATTTCAACACATGGGAGGCCATTAAGATCAGGTATGAAACTCAGACTGGCCAAGCCATTCCCGATAGCATTCTGGTGGCGACCCTCTTGAACAAGACGAGCGGGCCATTGCAACAGCATTTGAGGTTGAACGCACCAGCATTAGCGACGTATGACCAAACACGCAATGTGATTGTACAGTACTACCACTCTAGGCATATTCTTCGGAATACACCTGGAGGAGGAGCAGATTCACCAGGATCAGCCCCAATGGACATTGGAGGACTGATGAAAGGATTCAAAGGAAAAGGAAAAGGCAAAGGAAAAGGATTCAAGGGAGCTCACTGGAGCTACAGCAAAGGATTCCAAGGAAAAGGGAAAGGAAAGGATTTCAAAGGCAAAGGAAAAGGAAAGGATTCCAAAGGCAAAGGAAAGGATTCCAAAGGAAAGAGCAAAGGAGCAATTCAGACCTGTTGGATGTGTGGCTCTCGCGGTCACATTTCCAGACCGTGTCCACAGAGAGGCATTAGTGCCCTGACGGAAGGGGAGTGGACTGAGGATTGGACAGAGGAGCCCTGGCCTGATTCGTCGTGGTCAGAAGGCTACTCATGGGACATTGCAGGATTGTCTTGGGATGATTGCAATGATTGGTCTTGGGATGCTGCTTGGGACAATTGGGATTTTGGTTCCTGGATTATTCTTTGGATTGGCCCCAGGAAGATCAGATCCCAGAGAAGTCCTCAGAATCTGCTGGAGTGGGGATTTCATCCACTCCTGCAGAAACAAAGGTGCCCATTAGTGCAGTGATGTCAGCCCCAATGTCAGCCTTACTGGGATTGAGTCTGATTCAACACCGATTCGGCCTAAGGCGAAGGCAAAGTCATCTGGGATGTTGATTGCTGTACTTGTCATGAATTCGGTGACTTCAGGAGTTTCAGCTCAGATTCCCACCATTAGTGATGGACAGTTTGATTCTGGAACCCAAGAGTGGATTGCATGGGAGGACCACGAGAGATTTTTCAATCTTGGCATTGGACTGGAAGGGGTTCCCTGTTTCAGCTCTAGTTTGATTGCCCCGGTTTCTGGGCAAGACACATTTGATTGGTATCAGGAACCTTCCCCAGTCAAGGAATCATTCTTGTCAATGCGCACTCTTAAGCATTGCGGCTTGGAGCATTTGAACTCTCAGTTTGAGGACCGATTCTTGCAGGAACAATTGGTTTCTGCGGTGAGTGGTTCGTCACAGTGGATTTGTTTGATTCTGGAGCTGCTGCTCATTGCTGTCCACCTGAATTTGGTGATCAATGGCCATTGCTTCCATTAAATGGACCTGGCCCACCATTGAAAAGCGTGACAGGACAGCCATTGAACATTTATGGACGAAGACTTGTTGATTGACAATTGATGGACAGGATTGCTTCATGCATTTCTATGTGTGTGATGTGCCATATCCCATTGTGTCAGTAGCCAGATTGCTGATGCAAGGGTACAAGGTCACATTGGATGGACCAGATGCTTTGACATTGAGCATGCCCAATGGGAAGAGTGTGGCAATTCACCGCAAAGGGACACTGCTGTTTTTGTACCCCAACATGATTCCCTTTGACAAGACTCAATTTGCGGAAGTTTGTGAGGAATTCCATTCCAAGTTTGGACCCAATTCCCTTGGAACCATGGCGCCCACATTCAAACCCATGATTTACCACAATGACCGTTGGGAGCTTGATTCCCATCGTGCGGTGCTGATTAGGCACCACAAACGCGCGAGGCATGCATTGTTCACGCCGCATGGGACGAGAGATCGGCCCATTCCCTTGAAGGATTTGGCTGACGGCAGGACGCCTACGTCCGATTCGAAGATGGCCGTGAGGAGGTCATCTCGGATAATTGGCGTAATGCCGATTCGCCCAATCGCGCTTTGGACCGGTATTGGATGTGACGAACCGAATTTCCGTTGCAGTCATTGCCGACAGGCAAGCGATTGACGGAAAAGCAGTCGACGATTGCTCGGACGCCCATTCCTCCGACGAAGACGGTCAAAGCCACATTTGAAGGCTCACCCGTCGGAAGCCATTGCTCAGGATGACTATTCCCGAGCTGTGAAGATTCTGACAACGGGAGACTTGGAAGAAGCGCAGAAGCTTGTGGAACGAAAAATTGCAGATGTCAGACCCCGAAACTGAAGGTCCATTTGGTCAAGATGAGTGGCATTTCACCCCGAAATTTGACATCAGGATTCACCATGTTTGCAGGTCCCAACTCTATTTTCCCGATGAAACGGATCCACAAGCCCCTAACAAGGATTCCCTGGCCAATGAGCGACATACCTCATTGTCGCGCTCAATGGCAACCACCACTGGGAAAGAAACAATTGGAAGGATTCGAACACCCTTCGGGAATTCTCTGAACCATTCAAAGGAGCAACGGTGTTTCCGAGATTCGTACAGCAAGTGTTCGACGAAAACATTCCGGAAGTTCCACAAAAACGCACAGAGGCCCAAGGGATTGTACGTGCCCAAGGAGCTAACGGCGGACGAGATTCGCGAACACGAGCTAACGCACTTGCCATTTCGAAGTTGGTGTGAGGTTTGCGTTCGGTCGAAGAGTCGACAGAACCAAAGTCGAGCCATTTCGGCATGACAGCCTGTCATTCAAGTGGACTATGCCTTTATGGATGATTCACAGGGATCACCACAGGCAACATTGCTGACGGCAGTTGATGTGTTGAGCGGAATGGGATTGCGTGCGCCATCGAAAGGGCGTATTGTGTGCGCCCAAGCCGAATTGAAGAAATTCATCCACGAAATTGGTCGGACATTTGGAATTGCGCAATGTGATCCGGAGCCCTCAATTAAAGCCCTGGTAGAAGCAGTCACGGGTGACATTGGCGGATTGTCATACCGTGAATCGCCCGCGGGCTGGAAACAAGCTCAAAGTTCGATTTCCAACATGCAAGCGACATTGTACGCGCAGATTAGAGCATTCAAGTTGGACATTCAGCATCGATACGGCATTCCGATCAGTGTGCATTCGCCATTGTTTCCCTGGATTGTGAAGCACTCTCAGTGGCTTCTCAATCGATTCTTGCATCGCGCCGATGGTTGCACACCATTCGAGCGCCGATGAGGAAAGAAATATGGCGGCGCATTGTGCCGTATGGCTGAAGCCGTGCAGTTCCGATTGCAAGCGCCGAAGTCAGAGCCATCGTGGCATTCAGGCATTTGGCTTGGTCGTGACACGACATCAGACCAGCATTTTGTCACAGATGCCCATGGCGTGTACAAGGTGCGAGGCATTCGGAGGTAACAGCCAGGATCGCAAGTGAAGAAAGAATTGGTTGATTCATTGCGTGCTGTTCCATGGGACCCCAAAGGATCGAAGATTGAAACGGATTCTTTCATCCTTCCCGGTGA